ACACAAGTTAACTTAAGTGAAGAGATCAAAATTATAGAAAAAGAAGTCATAGTGTTCGAGTATGAACAACGGAAATGTCAATAAGAGCTTACAAACATTTTTTCCCATAACTTCATTTTTCCTCCAAGCTTGCAATTTTAGGGTAAATTTGCGTAAAACTTTATCCTCTTTTTTTTCAAAATGATTGACGAAGACTCTCACTTAAATAAAGTTCTATTCTTATTTTTAATATCTTTAAAAGAAACTTGAAAGAAATTTTTTTTTTCCAATAGAATATATATATAATCTTACGATTCTAATTCTATAGTCAATAATTATTTTTTTTAAAATTTTAATTTAGTGATCATATGATAATTAAATTATTTAAAATATTCTATCACGCTAGAATAAAAAGTTAGTAGCTAGTTGGTGCACCAAGACATAATTTTGAAATATTCGTGCATGTAATTTATAAATTTATTTAAACAAAATTCGTGTGCTAAGTTCAAATGGGTATAAAATAAATTTTTAAAAATTAAATTATAATGTTTCGTTTAAAATTTTTAAAATTACTATATCAGACATCATATTAAAATAACATAAAAGAAAAAAGAAATAGTAATAGGAAGAATATTAAAATATTTATTTATATTAGAGAGTAAATAAATTATTACATTACTATATGCCATATGTAATGGGAACAAAGGAAGGCGGCGTACCAAATCTTCAGTCCACGTTATAAATACAGAGCCCCTCCCCTCTGTGTTCAAATCTCACATCCCTCGTCTCAACCCTAACAAGGAGAATAATAAGAAAGAGAGCTTTTGGGATCTCGATTTTTCATCTTCTTCTCAGTTCAAACTAATAGTTCCTGTCAATTAATTGCTAATTCATCAGTTTTTAATGGCTCAGCTAACGTTGTTAGGATCACATCAGTTACTCGTCTCCATCTCAAGCTTTGTTATTTCTGTTTTGTTCATATCAGGTACTCCGTGATTCTTTCATGTGTTCTTCTCAATTTATCAATGGCTTTGGTTAAATGATTGAATTATTTGTTACAGGAGTTGATTCCACGACCTTCACAATAGTAAATAAATGCGACTATACGGTGTGGCCAGGCATTCTGTCGAACGCCGGTGTGCCGCCGCTTTCCAACACTGGATTTGTTCTCGAGAAGGGAGAAACGAAGACCATCTCCGCGCCGACATCATGGGGTGGCCGTTTCTGGGGAAGAACTCACTGTACCGAGGATTCCTCCGGCGAGTTTTCATGCGTGACAGGTGACTGCGGCTCCGGCAAGGTCGAATGCTCCGGTAGTGGAGCAATCCCGCCGGCCACCCTTGCGGAATTTACCCTAGACGGTCACGGTGGACTCGATTTTTTTGATGTGAGCTTAGTAGATGGGTATAATATTCCTATGGTGGTTGTCCCTCAGGGTGGGACGGGCGTGAACTGCACGACGACGGGATGCTTGGTGGATCTAAACGGCGCGTGTCCTTCCGAGCTGAAAGTGATGAGTGCTGACGGGAAAGGCGGCGTGGCGTGTAAAAGCGCCTGCGAGGCGTTTCAGCAGCCGCAATACTGCTGCAGCGGCGCGTACGATAGCCCCGCGATTTGCAAACCTTCTCAGTACTCTCGGCTGTTCAAAAGCGCGTGCCCACATGCGTACAGCTACGCTTATGACGATAAGACCAGCACTTTCACATGCGCTAACGCCGACTACGTTATTACCTTCTGCCCTGCGCCTAACACCAGGTTAG